TGGTTTGGATTTTTGTAAATTAATACATTTACAAAATTTATTGATATAAATTAGTATTAATAATAACAACTTTAGGGACTTTCAATGAAATACACATTACAAAATTAGGGCTCCTCTTAACCATGAAATATGTGACAGATTTGGCATTCAACATTTAATTTCAAATTGTAAATGATCATTTGCCCAGGAAAAGTTACTAACATCCATTTTTCTAAATGTAACATTTTGTTTTGGATGTAGTTGTTGCTTTTGGAGTAATAGACATTGAATATAAAATTGCTCTTCTGTTTTAAGTACACTATCATTTTAATTTCACTCAACGATGAAGAGTACTTGTATCTATAACAAAGCAAGAAGACAAAGCAATATAAAAACAAGCATTTTTTTCTTCTACGGGAAATAACTAATCAATTTAATGGATCATGTGTTAGCATATTTTAATAAATTTGCTCCTGGTTGAACTGGCCACATTTCTAAGAACAACATAACATATCTTTACAAGTTGTAGTTTTTATGAGATGTTTATGTTCTTCCCAAGGTTATTCCGTTAGAAAGGCTCCATCTGCACAAAAGGAAACAAAAATGAATATGTCCAAGTAAAAATGGTACACGGGGTGACTGGAAATGTTCAAGTTTAATAACTGAAGTCAAGTATCTCTGAATCAGATCTGTAGTTCTGAAACTTGGTCACCACTTACCCAGTGTTTTCTAGGATTGAAGTAAAGGAAAGAACTTATTTAACTGAAAAATAAAACAACCAGGAAAAAAACCCAACCCAAACCAAACCAAAACAAAAAACTTGAATGGTGACTGACCGTTTCTAGAGAATGAATAAGAAGGAGTCAGTTTTTCATGTTGTGCCCACTCAGATGACTCATCTGCTTCAATTTCATTCTTTTTGATATGCAAAATTTTAGGCTCACTTTTGGCGTAGTTACCTATGACTCAGAATCTGTGTTGCATCATCCTGATAGCTAAAATTACATTATGTGTATTCTAACCACTAAATTAGTTTTTGCTTATTTTTTCCATTTACAGAAATCATTAAGATAAACATTGGCATTGAGCTATGAATATAGTATGGAAATCTCCCAAAACTATATACCTGACTATTCACTGAACATCTCTTTGTACTATAAATATATTAGAAAATATTGATAATAAACTCACAATTTTCAGCAATGATAGTTTTTGATGCTAAAACTAGTTCTTATGGTAAATTTTCTTTCTGTATTTTCCATTTCACTTTAACCTCCTAGCCTATCATTTTATATGTCATTTAAAATGATAATTATCAATAATCTCTGGACTTTTCCTATGTTCAGTCCATAATGTCTTATTGCATAATATAAAGAGGCTTGTTTTCCCACTTACCTTAAAAAATGGTTCCAGAGAATAAGTGTGTTTGCAGCCTGATATTAAAGATTTGAGAGTTGCAAAGGATTGCATCATGAGAAGTTTGCCATTAGGTGAGCCTGTTGGTTTTATCATCTCATTCAATTTAGGAATCTCTAAATCTCTACCAATAAACAGAAATGCACAGCTCTGAACCTTATCATTGTTAATAAATCTATAGAAAACACAACAGTCAGTATTCTTTTTCTATAAAATAAAGGACCATTTGCAAAAAATTGAGGTTATTGGAAATTATACTTACAATTTTTTTTTTTCTAAGACAGTCTCATTCTGTTGCCCAGGCTAGAGTGTTATGGTGTCAGTCTAGCTCATAGCAACTTCAAATTCCTGGGTTCAAGCAATCCTCCTGCCTCGGCCTCCCAAGTAGCTGGGACTACAGGTACCTGCCATGATACCAGCTAATTGTTTCTATTTTTAGTAGAGACGGAGTCTTGCTCTTGCTCAGGTTGGTCTCAAACTCCTGAGCTCAAGGGATCCTCCCACCTTGGCCTCTCAGAGGGCTAGGATTATAGGTGTGAGCCACTGGGCCTGGTCTATACAATTTTTTTGATACTTCTCTTTAAGAGGTAGATAATAATTTCTCTCTCCTTGAATGAGAATTGGTGATTCACTTTTAATAAATAGATTATGTCAGGCTTTGCCATAGACTCCATCATTTTTACTTCCCTTTTGCTTTCTTTCTGGAATCACTCACTTTGTGATTGATTCACTTTGTGGGTAGCCATTTGCAATGTTATAAAGGCAGTCAAGCTCCGATCTGGAGAGAACCGTGAGATGAGGATTTGAGGCTTCCTTCTAACAACAACTGAAGAACTGAGAACCCTCTGCGAATAGCCACGTGAGTGGGCCATTTTGGAAGCAGATCCTTTAGTCACAGACAGGTCTTTAAGTGATAGCATCCATGACCTAAACTTGATCATAGGCTCATAAGGGACCCTGAGCCAGAATCATCCAGCTAAACATCTTCCATGCTATAAAAAAAATGTTTGTTGCCTTACGCCTCAACAATATTTTGGGGTAATTTGTGACACAGCTGTTGGTGGCAAATACAGATTTTTCTCTTAAGATTCTAGTCCTCTGAAACCAACTACTCTTGGTGCCAAATGAATTGTATCATATTATATGAAGCACGACATTAAATTTTTTGGTAATAATTATAGCTTAAAGAGATTAAATTAATTATGGGTGCCACATTGACAGAGGTGGGTATTGGTGGCTTCATAATATGTCAATGTGGCTAGGTTAAATGATATTTCCCACAATCTCTTTTCTTCTGTTTCTGGTTAGGGTTAGCCACAAGAGACTTTTTTTTTTCTTTTTTTGAGACAGAGTCTCAGTCTGTTGTCCTGGGTAGAGTGCCATGGTATTAGTGTAGCTCACAGCAACTTCAAACTCTTGGACTTGAGCAATCTTCTTGCTTCAGCTTTCCAAGTAGCTGGGACTACATGCATATACTGCTATGCCCAGCTAGTTTTTCTTTTTTCTTTTCTTTTTTTTTTTTTATAGAGATGGAATCTCCGTCTTGCTCAGGCTGGTCCCAAACTCCTGAGGTAGGGGGCCTTCTTGGCCTCCCAGAGTACTAGGATTACAGGTATGAACTACCACACTGAGCCCACAAGAGACATTTTTTAAAAAATGAGTGCTAAAGGACAGAGGTGCAGAGGTGAAGCAATAGCCATGTGTTTTTTGCCTTCAGAAGGACAAGGTTGGTACCTTTGTATCTCACACACACTGCTGTTATCTGTTGGACCAGCTCATTGGTGTGTGATGGCAGCCACACTTTGAAACTGCTCCATCTTTCCCTGGGTCCTCCTTCATCTGCTTCCTGGGCCAAATGTACATTTAGGCCCATGATGAAGGGGGTCAGCTTCTGTTGTACATGTGCATCAGCAAGGTTGGAGGCACCAGAAATAGTAGGTCGTAGTGTGTCCTGTGGTTTTTAGCTCACACTCATGGTACCAGCTTGTTTTTATTCTTCTTCTTTTCCACTCCTCCCCTCCTCCTTTTCACCTGACCTATGGATTTCCAGCTCCAAAACAGGACACAAAATAATACCTTACACAACTGTTCAACCAGCTTCTGCAATCACATAATTTCAAATCTCTGTAACACTTTATTCTCCCTCTTTTCCTTTCTCTCTCTGTCTGCATCTCTGTCCTTCCCTGTAATCTTAGTATCTTAGCAGTTCTGCTTCTCTGATTGAGCCTTAACATTAAAATGACCTTCGCATCATCTCATACCTTTAAATATGTTGGTTCTCAAGCTCGTTAATGGAAACTCAAGAATCTTTAGAACTTCCTGTGAAACATAAGGATTACCAATCTTCATCTTCAGAAATAAATTCTGATTCAGGGGGTCCAGTATGCAGCCTAAGAATCTATGTTTTTCACAGGCATTAGATTCAGGTGATCCAAGCACCATAATTTGAACAAACACATTTAAAATGTATTTCATTGAAATTAAGGTTTTCCAATAATAGAATTTTCTTTCCATTACTAATGTACTAAAGCCAAGTCTATTTGTTTTCATTCAACAAATACTTATTATTCACTTGTTCTATGTTAGAAACATGCTCCAAGGTGGGAAAGGATGGCTGGGTATCTAGTGAAAGGCATCCAGTGTAAAGAAGCACCTGTGTTGGGGTCTTATTAATGCTATTACACATCTTCATGTTTCTCAACAGTTATTTTCTGACAATGCTTTGAGAAACCCTGTGATCTTTTGAAGCAGATTCACGTATAAAGGAAAGTCCAATTTAGTGAGACATTATGATTCATTCTGCAGTTGCCTTCCTAGGCGTCAGCCAGGACAGGTCTATTCTTTTTATGTAGATGGAATTTTCTCATAAGCTTTTTTGTTTGTTTGTTTTGTTTTCTAAGAAAACATATTACATAGAAAATTGAAAATGAAAGTCTTTACTCCAATGTAATCACCTTATTTTCATGTATAAGGTAGTAACAAATACAGAATGGATGGACAATGGACATGTTGATGCATTAGAGTCCCAGTATTCAGGCAACAGGTAACCAGAGACCATTTGGGTAACACATTTAGGTGAACAAATCAAAGCCCAAAGATATTGAGTGATTTCAATGGTAATTTTTTGGTAGAGATAAATTTATTCTTCTGGTTCATCTCTCTTTCCTTGTGTCATATACATTGTGAGAGAATTAATAGAATATTAGATCTTCATAACATAACATTCCAGAAAATTTTCATTGCTTATTATTTTTTTCTGATATGCTCCCAAACTCCTGAACTCAAGCAATCCGCCTACCTTGGCCTTCCAGAATGCTAGGACTATAGATGTGAGCCACTGCAGCCAGCTATTACCTCATTATGTTAAAATTTTTCTTACATTTTCTGGTATGAGCTATTTTTCTTTACATTAATTAGTAAAAAATAAGATTATCCTAAAATCTTATATGTTGATGGATTTCGAATTTGGACACAGATAAAAGATTATCTCAGATAAGTTGGTACTAAAACTCATCATCAATTGTATTAGAAGGTGAAATAATGACAGCTTCTATCATGGCTTTTAAAAAAATGCTGAGGATGTTGTATTTTATTTATTTCCACAGCTGGATTCTGATGGCACCATTACGATAGAGGAGCAGATTGTCCTTGTGCTAAAGGCTAAAGTACAATGTGAACTCAACATCACAGCTCAACTCCAGGAGGGAGGTAAAGATGCTAAGAAAACTGTGTTCCCTTGTGCCTCCCACCCTCCTCCTAATCCCTGTTTCCATGTGGAGAGGTCTGTAGCAGAACAATACTCTTAATCTTTTTACCCCATTTGCTTTTCTCTCCCCATGAAAGGAGTGACTTGGTTGATTACTGAGTTTGAGAATAGCAACAGGACATGTGCACATCGGCCTCTTCCTCAGATCTCCCCTTGGGATTTGTCTACTTGTGGAGGGTGTGTATGCTGGTTCACCCTTGACTATGTAGTAAGTTTGGAGGGGTAGGCTCTGACCCTGTGGATATTGCCAGACTTTTTAGGTAGAAAGTTCAATTCAGAGTAGTAAATAAGCCCACACCTCAGCCATAGTCTCCAAAAACTTTTTTTGTTAATAAAATAATAATTTTATCTCCAAATGGCTGACTCTGTGAAATCTCTCAGTTAGTTCCAAATGCAAGTGAGAAGTGGGGTGCTGTGTACTGAGCTCTCTGAATTCCCTGCTGAATGCTGCAGACAATGTTCCTCAAGTTACGCCTCTATAATAAAACATGTAGTTTGATATCTGTTTAAGACTAGTCTGTAAAATAAAAAAAGTTATGATTGATTTCTCAATTGGTTATAATCAGAGATGCAGCATGCATGATACTGATTTTTTAAAATGTATTGAGATTTAATGGCTTCTACCATAGTCAATTTTGATAAATGTTCCATGTGGTCTTCAAGGGAATGTATGTCCTCCAGTTTCTTTTTTTGCAGCTTTTTTGGCCAGGGCTGGATTTGAACCCACTACCTCTGGTATATGGGGCTGGAGCCCTAGTCCTCTGAACCACAGGCACTGCGCTGTCCTCCAGTTTCTGAGTACAGTGTTGTATAGTGTCCACTAGATGAAGCTTATTGGTTGTGTGGTTCACATGTTCTGTATGATAATTGTTTCTTATGTGCTTGGCCTTTTATTTTCTGAGATATATATCATAAAAATATCAAACTATTATGATGAATTTATAAATAAAAATTCATTAGATATTTTTCCTTCATATATTCTGAAACTGTGTTACTAGATATATGCAAGTTTAGAAATAGTATTTTTCCTGGTGAATTAAGCATTTTATTAATACAAAATAGCCCTCTTCAAGATCCTTTAGTTTGGAATATTAAAAATGTACAATTTAAAATTATTATATTAAAAATAAAAATATGTAATAAACATTACTAGTTTCTTTCTTTGATGGTTGGTATTTGCCTTGTATATCTTTTCCAATCCTTTAAAAATGTTTTAATTGTGATAAAATGCACATAGCATTAAATTAGTCATCTTACCTATTTTTAATTGTACTGTTCAGTAGTATTAAGTATATTCATGTCATGGTACAACCAAACTCCATTCAACAAGTCCTCATATTTTTCTAATTCTTTCATTAAATGTTTCTGTACTTACATTTTGGGAGTATTTTTTATAAACAGGACATGTGGACTTTTTCTTATCTATTTTGACAATTTTTTTTCTATAAACTGGAGAGTTTAGACTACATTAGTCTAATTACATTAATTGTAATTTCTAAAACATGGTTTTGTTATTTTTGTTTGTTTGTTTGTTTTTTCTGCAACCCTACCTGGAGGTTAGTGGTGTGATCATAGCTCACTGCAGCCTTGAACTCCAAAAGCCTTCCAAGTAGCTTGGTTTACAGATGCACACCACCAAGCCCAGCTAATTTTTAATGTTTTAATTTTTTGTAGAGATGGGATCTCACTATTTTGACCTGGCTTGTCTTCATTTCCTATCCTCAAGCAATCCTCCCAAAGTGTGAGGATTACAGATGTGAGCCACTGCAGTCAGCCTACAGTATTTCAATGTAATTCTGCTATGTTACTAAGGTTTCCTATTCTCTCCCCAGCTCTTTTTATGTGTCTCTTTCACTCCACTTGCTCCAACCTCCTTTTGGTTTGATTCATACTTTTTTCTCATTTCATTACCTGTCCTCCCCAACTAATTTTCAAGATATATATTTCATTCTTTTAGTGGTTATCCTAACTATGTATATATATATATATTTACTTTAAGCAAGTTTAAAGTTTACAAATAACTTCCTCCTTCCAAAAAATACAAGCAGTTTGAGATACTTTAATTGCTTCCAAATTATATGCTACTCCCACAAGGTTTTAGTTTTACCTTAATTTTATGTCATCATCTTTTTGAATTATGTCTTTTATTTATTTCATTTTTAAATTTACTTTACATTAGAATGTAGTTGTGGTGCTTTCAGATTTTTTTTTTTTGTCTGAAAATATTTGAAAGATACTTTTTTCTGGTCACATGATCATTGGTTGAAATTTATTTTTATCACCTGAAGATATCATTGCATTTTTTTCTAGCTGTCATTTTTATTGTTAATAAATCAGTTCTCAGTTTTTGCTGGTGATCAGTTTTGTCTCTCTGACTCTTTAATTTTTATAGTCTGCATTTAATTAATTACTTTATTAATTAATTTATTTTTGAGACAGAGTTTCACTTTGTTATCCCGAGTAGAGTGCTGTGACGTCATAGCTCACAGTAGCCTCAAACTCTTGGGCTCAAGTGATCCTCTTGCCTCAGCCTCCTGCCACAACACCCAGCTATTTTTGGATATAGGGTCTGGACTCCTACTCAGGCTGGTCTCGAATTCCAGACCTCAGGCAATCCACCCACCTTGGCCTCCCAGAGTGCTAGGATTATAGGCATAAGCCACTGCTCCTGGCAATATTCTGCATTTTTACTTGGTATCTAGATATAGAGTCCTTGGATTTCCTGAATCTAAACATCTGTGTATTTATTCAGTGATGAGAATGCTATTTTTGTTTAAATTTTTGATTAAATCACAGCTGTGTACATTAATACTATCACGGGGTACAGTGTGTTGTATCTATATACAATTTGAAATACTTTCATCCAACTGGTTAATATAGCCTTCATGTCATTTTCTTAGTTGCTGTGTTAAGACATTTATATTCTACATTTAGTAAGATTCACATATACCCTTATAGGATAAACCATAGGTGTGATCCCACCAATCACCCTCCCTCCACACATCCTTCCCCCTCCCCTCCCCTCCCTCACCCCTTTCCCCATATTCATGGGCTAAATTTGGGTTATGGTTTTCCTATGATAGCTATAAAAGACATGAAATTATAAAAACACTAGAAGAAAGTGTAGGGAAAACTCTTGGGGAATGCTATTTTGTTGTTGAAAATTTGTTTTTCTTCATTCCCTCTGTTATCTCCTTCTGGAACTTCAAGTTGACCTTGTGATACCACCCTTTGTGTGTCCATGTCTTATATACTTCCCTTTCCTTTGTTTCTCTACTGCTGTTTTGGTAATTTCTTTAAATCTATTTTCTAATTTTCTAGCTCTTTTTCAGCTTCATCTGACAGCTGTGCAATCCATCCATTAGTTAATTTTGATTATTATTCTTTTTATTTTCTGAAATCTACAAATTGAATTTGATAGTCCCTTGTACTTTCAATAGTCTTTTAGTCTTTTCTCTTTTTCCCAGACATGTTTTATACTGCATTGTACTTTAATAATTCTCATAACCATGGACTTTGATGGTCAATGCTGGTTACCATGCATGGTGGTTTATTTCCTTATGTGTTTAATGATTTATGATGAGGAAACTCATAAAGTCCTCATTTAAACTGCATTCATCCAAAGAAAATTCGTGTTTTTTTTTGGCATGGTGCCTAGAGGAACTATTGACCTAGGTCCACTTTAAACTAAATTTAGACCACATGTGGGTATGGGTTTGAAGAAATTTTTAGACATTTTTTTCTCAACTGTTTTCTATTCCAACTCTAAGTGTAGCCAAGAATGAAGCAAGACACTCTCTTCCTGAAGGTGATTCTGTTTCTTGTTCACTCAGTAAGGGGGGGAGGATAATTTTAGAGGGGATACTAACCTTATATAGGCATTTCTCATTCAATTTCCCAACTTCATGAGGCCTGAGGCTCATCATTTATTACCTGGAAATTATCAAAACCTGAGCTTTAAGCCAACCAGATCAGTAGAGGTATCTAAGTTAAGCTTCTAGAAGTTGGGAACAGCCCTCAATGGACAGCCAGCAAGGTAACATGGACTCAGCTCTACATGAAAGAAACTGAATTCTGCCAACAACCCGAATGAGCAAGGAGACAGATTCTCCCCTAGAGCCTCCAGAAAGGTAACGCAGCTCTGTCCAAGGTAACATGGACTCAGCTCTACATGAAAGAAACTGAATTCTGCCAACAACCCGAATGAGCAAGGAGACAGATTCTCCCCTAGAGCCTCCAGAAAGGAACGCAGCTCTGTCCAGCCCTTGATATTGGCCTTGTGGGTCTGTAAGCAGAAGGCTAGCTGAGCCCACCAGACTTTTGACCTTTAGAAATAGTGAGAAAGTAAATTCCTGTCATTTAAACTTGCTGGGTGTGTGGTAATTTGTTATAGTAGCAACGGAAAACTAACATAACATTCACTGAAGCCTCTCCTTTGGGGAAGTTGGGGTATAACCTGGCTGACAGGCTGCCTTCTTGGATGCTTGTTTTGTCACTAATGAATGGGAAGGAGTCTTGAAGGGCACAGAGGATTGACACTGATTATTTGTTAAGCTGCTACCAGGTGTCGGGGGCCATTCAAGGAACACCACTAATGCATGAGACAAAGCAGACAGAAGTATCTCCACTCTGAAGTTTCCCAAAGCCTGTGGCTTAAGAAAACAACAACAGCATAACATTTACTACTAGAAAGTGATGAGAACTCAGGGGAAAAATATAGCAGGAAAAGGAATAGTTGGATCCATGTTGGGTCACTGAGTGATGGAGGCAAGGTTAGAATTTCTCAAGGAGCAAAACATTCTGTAGCCCACCCCCCTTTTTTTTAAAATTTTGGGTTTGTTTCTTTGTCTGTTTTGTTTTATAGAAAGAGGCAAGCAGGGATCAAAGCTCAAGGCCATTCACTCTTGTAGAAATGCATCTTCTGTTTAGAAAGGCAAGAGCTTCAGTGTTTTACCTTGTTGGGGTTAACAACCACTTCTACTCAGGGCACAGAGTGGGAGCTCCTTAAATGTTGATTTCCATTCCTTGTAGCCTTTGTCCTTTTAATCCTCGAGGTAAACTTTGATATTTTAAAATCAAAGTTGGTGGAGACATCAATGGTGGAGACACCATTTTAAATGAGAAGCATTTGAGTAAAACTCTGAAGGAGGTAAGAGAATTAGTCTTGAAGCTCCGCGGCATGGCATCCAAGTCTAGGAAGAACAAACAAGGCCTGTGTGGTGAGTGCAGACCAGAGCCAGTGCCAAGGCCAGTGAGATGAGCTGGGAGAGAGGGCAGTTCCTATAGGGACTTTAGACATTGTGAAAACTTAGGCATTTTGAGGTGCGGTGCTGTTTGAAACTTTTAGGGTATGATGTCAAGAAGAAAGGAAAGGAGAGTGCGAAGGAGGATCATTGTGCATTAGTTACCAACTTGTCTGAGTCTGGTGTGATAGAAAACCCACATACAACAAGTTACATGAGCAGGTTTTTTACTTACAGATGGGCAGGAAGGGACAACAGAAGCCTAGGAGTCACTGGGCACAGCTCCCCCAAGGTTCAGGAAAGCTGCCTGAGGTAGATGGAATCTCCACTGCGCATGTCCCACTTGCCTGCAGCAGCGGGATATGGGTGGAGAGGTCAGGGGGTGTGGGGTGGTGACCCAGAAAACAGCCAGCCCTAGGCTCTATGCCTCAGGGAAGATATGATGCACTGGGGAAAAGTGCCGAAGGACATGCTGCTTCTGGGACAGGCAGCAACAGAGCCAGGCTATTCAGGCAGTTCCTTCTCTATCTCAGGATGTTATTGCCAATACATTCTATGGTTAGTCTTGAGAATTACAAGCATAGGGGGCAGGGATAACTGGATCTGTTCAATGCCACCCAGAGAACTGTCCCTCAGAAGGCAAGAATGGAATCAGGAAGACAGCCGGAGACCGTCTGCACTCATTCAGGACAGAGATGGGTGACTTGGCCCATGGTGGTGGCAGGGGAGATTGTGAGAAGTGATAGGATTCTGGACTCTTTTTGAGAGGGGCAGAGCTTAGGGGAATATTTTTTTTTTTTGAGATGAGTATTAAACTCAAGAGAAATTACTAAAATTATTGGTAAAAAGATAAATCCCAATCTTGCACCTTACCTATAAAGTGCAGTATTTCGTGTCTCATGTTCTTTAACAGAAATTTTTAAAAATCTAGGATAAAAATGTAGCTACAATTGTGATAGTTGCAAGAACTTACTACAGAACTTGTTCGCAATGACTTCCAATGTTTCTTAGATATTAACTGCTGTGACTGCTATAACTAATATATTAGAATTATTTGAATTCTTTTAATGTATACACATCAAATGTTTCTATTAGTGAGCCTTTGATGAGGCCAGGCAGATACATTTTGGAATATTTTCATTGTCTCTATCCTATTCTAGTTTCCAAAACTACTAATTTATTTTACATTTTACCACAGGCAATGACATGAAATTTTGTATTTTGAGTGTATCTGGTTCATTTTTCTTTATTTACTTTAAAGTTTTCTTTTTTTTTTTCTCATCAGAAGGCAACTGTTTCCCAGAATGGGACGGGCTCATTTGTTGGCCCAGAGGAACAGTGGGGAAAATATTGGCTGTCCCATGCCCGTCTTATATTTATGACTTCAATCATAAAGGTATGGAGTTTTGCTGAAATGATTAATTTGAAACAAATTTATTTATTTATTTATTTTTGTAATAGAATCTAAAGAAACTTGCAACATCTTTACAGGAGTTGCTCTCCGACATTGTAACCCCAATGGAACATGGGATTATATGCACAGCTTAAATAAAACATGGGCCAATTATTCAGACTGTCTTCGCTTTCTGCAGCCAGATATAAGCATTGGAAAGGTAATAGAATTTTTATATTTGTAAACCCCTAAGGGAAAGTAGAAAAATATTTTTGTTCAATTCTTGATTGTCGACTATTATCTATAAAAACCCTTTTATTCTATAACACAAGGATCTTAAAAGATAGAAGCAAAGTTGGAATCTTTTTAGATGCATATAAAACATTCTGGTAATTTCCTTACGCTAAGATACCTGCATATATACTAATAAATATATCTCTGTGTGTTTATTATATTATGTTATGTTTACATTACATTATGTTATACTATATTATATTATGTCTAAAAATCTCAGCGGGTAGTGGGAAACATGGTTCCCAACACCTCAGAGATGGTGTTGGTCAGAGTTCTTAGTTAACTATGAATGTTTACCTTCATCTCCACATTCCTGAAGGACACTGCATTTTAGAGGTGTATTTTCCCTTTAATAATATTCTCCAGTATGTGATATCATTAGTATATGAAAGATTAGAGTTGTAGGATTAAGGAGGAGCAGGGGGCATCTTATAAGATCTCCAGCACAATACCTTAATTTCACAGATGTGAGTCAACTGAGAATCAGAGATAAGGTATTTGTCAGAGTGACATCGCTTGCTGATCATGGGGGAGGGAAGTTAAAGCAGAGCCCTGATGTCCTAATTTCATATAAACACTGTTTCCAGCATAGCAATCATGAGTAAATTTAGAGAAATTCTACTAGAGAGTTATTTTTAAGTTATACATGGTATTTTAAAAGTTGTGCTGAAATTCATTTCACTAAGACCTTGTGAGCAAAACTGCCTGATGATAGATGATGCTGAGTGAATATGATAAATTGGCGTTTAAATGATTATTATGAGGACCCTAAGAATAGTCCATCACATATAAACTCTCCCCAGTTAGACATTTTTCTTTATGCCTGGTGATTTTCTGTAGGGAAGCAGGGAAGGAGAACAGTAGGGGGAAAAGTAATGAGTTGAAGGTTATTTAACCCTTAATAGGCAGAACTTCCTTTTTTTACTTTTTTTCTAACATAAAGCACTACCATCATAATTAAATGTTTAGTAATTTGCTGAAAGACTTTCAGTGTTGTGTTTCATCACTGAAAGCTTGTTGGATAAAATTAGTGAACATGAGGAGACTGTGAAATATTCTACGATGTACTAATCCCAACATTGTGTCAACATAGAAAGATTCAACATAATCTCATTGAAAGAAACATTCACTGATATTTCAGTGTACTCTGTGATGATTTTTAATGGCCACTAAATTAAATCATGATTCTAATATATTTGCACTGAACTCTAATTTTACAACCATTCTTTGTGATTACTGTGTATTTTAAGAATCAAAATAACTAAAGATGGCTAAAATACCAAAGATATGTACTATTTTATTAAAAATGATGCCAAAGTTAATTAAAATTTGAGTTTTGTTAGCATAAATAATGGCATTGACTCTATTGAATGTAAATGGACTAAACACATCATTTAAAAGGCAGAGATTATTAGAAGAGATAATGAAAGCATGACCCAATTACATGCTGTCTTCCAGAAATGTACTTTAAATATAAAGATATTGATAAACATATAAAGATAACATTTACACACACATTGAAATTAAAAGGGTAGAAAAAGGCATATACTTTGCATACTCTAAACATAAGAAAGGTCATGTGATTAAGTAAACTTCAAGGCGAGAATATTACCAAGATGGAAGAACATTTCAAAGTTATAAAAGAATCAATTTACTAAGAGAAAATATTCCTAAAAATGCATGTATTTTGGAGGTTCAAATTTCACAAGGCAAAACTTGTCAGAGATAAAAGAGGAAATAGCCAAATTTCATCTTTTAGAGTTTTCAAACACCATTTTCTCAGTGATTGATAGAACAATTAGACAAAAACTTCCATAGGACATCTCTCAAACAATTTGATTGAATTGATATTTATGGACTACTCTAATCAACAATTGCAAAATTCGTATTTTTAAAGCACACACCAAAGGTTCACCAAGACAGAACATAATGTTGGGATACAAAATAAGTCTCTATAAATTCCAAGATTGAAATTATGTTCTCTGCTCATAAGAGATTAAAAGAATATCAATTAAGATAAAATATATAGACAATTCACAAATAGTTGGAAATTACACAGTGCATGGCAGAGGTTCAAATTGAATAAATATGAAAGCCCAACATGCCAGAAATTGTAGGAAAAGCTACAGCAGAGATTAGAGGGAAATTTACATTTTTCAATGGTTAATTAGAAAAGAAGAAAGATGAAAATTCAGTTTCCACATTTTTTTTTTTTTATTGAATGGTAACTATGTACATTAATGCACTTCTGGAATACAGTGTGGGGTTTTCACACACAATCCGAAACACGTCCATCAAACTGGTTAGCATAGTGTAAGATAAACCTCAGAAGTGATCCCACCAATCCCTCTCCCTCCACCCATTCCCCCCTCCCCTCTCCCTCCCTCCTCCCTGTATTCTTAGACTGTTATTAGGTTATAGCTTTCACAAAGTTTCCACATTAAACATAATGTAATACCTACAGCATCCACTAAAATTACTGTACCAAAAATACATCAACATGAAATTCTAAAATAGGTTTTAGTAACCTTCAGGATGGGAGGACAAATAAAACAAATAAACAGATAGGACAACAGAAAATAAAACAATACAAACCGATGAACTTGACAAATGGTTTAAATACACTAATTAACAGAGATAAGAAAGTCCTATTAAAAAACATGACCCAACTGTTATATGATCTACACAAAGCTCACTTCAAAGATCGTGATAGACATATGTTATGTACATGCCATGAAATGCTATTTAGCAACAAAAAGAACAAACTATTCATATGTGTAACAATTTGGATATATCTCAAGGGTAGTATTCTGAGTGAAAAAGGCCAATCTTAAAAGGTCTCCTGGCTCAGCGTCTGTGGCTCAAGTGGCTAAGGTGCTAGCCACATACACCTAAGGTGGTGGATTTGAATCCAGCCTGGGCCCCCCAAAACAATGATGACAGCTGCAACTAAAAAATAGCCAGGCATTGTGGTGGGCGCCTGTGGTCCCAGCTACTTGGGAGGCTGAGGCAGGAGACTCGCTTGAGCCCAGGAGTTGGAGGTTGCTGTGATGCCACGGCACTCTACCCAGGGGGAATAGCTTGAGGCTCTGTCTCAAAAAAAAAAAAAAAGTCTCCTACTATAGGATTCCACTTCCATAATATTTGTGAAATGAATAAAAGTATACTAGATATGGAAAACAGATTAGTAATTGCCCAATGTTTGGGAAGGTAGAAAGGAGGAAGAAAGGGTATCAATTAAAAAAAACAGCCTAAGGGAGAACTTCATGCTGGTGGAATAGTTTTGGTTCTAGCTGCAGTAATGGTTACAAAAATGTACATACATATAAAATGGCATAGAACTATAAGTGCACACATTGCACTGATTCCTTGTTTTGATATTTTAGTGTAAAAGTGTAAGATGTAAACACTGGTGAATACTCGGTAAAGGGCACAGGGGACCTTTCTTACTATATTTTCTACTTCTTGTGAGTCTATAATTATTTTAAAATAAAACAAAATTAGCCATTCTTCTGTCTTCCTTAGAGAAGGTTCTAGTCATGTCTCTTGCCCAGTGACATGTGGGATTGTTAGCTCTTTTTTTGTTGATTAATTTAAGTTTTTTGTAGATCCTAGTTATTAAGCCTTTATCTGATTTGCAATCTGTAAATATCTTTTCCCATTCTGAAGGTTGTCTAGACGAATGACTAAAAAACATATAAAATAATGCTCATCCTCCCTAATCATCAGAAAAATACAAATCAAAACCACCCTGAGATATCACCTAACCCCAGTAAGATTAACCCACATCACAAAGTCCCAAAGCTGCAGATGCCACTGTAGATATGGAGAGAGGGGAACACTTTCACACTGTTGGTGGGCCTGAAAACCAATGCAGCCTCATTGGAATCCTACTGCTAGACATCTACTCAGAAGAAAACAAAAATAGCGTGGAAAGCTATTCAGCCATCAAAAGATGGTGACTTCACATCTTTTGTAATATCCTGGGTGGAGTTGAAACACATTCTTCTTAGTGAAGTATCATAAGAATGGAAAAGCAATTATCTAATGTGCTCAATACTAATGTGAAGCCAGCAGATGATCGGATGCATGCCCACAGGGGAGAATAACTCATTTCAATTCAAGTTGGGGAGGGGTAACGAGGGAGGAGGAGGCAAATGGGGTGCTGTCACTGAAAGGGCACAGGATGGGGGTGTCTGGCACATCTTTTGTGTGCAGGATGTAAACACAAGAGGGACTGTACCTAACCAAATCAAATATTTTAACCTGGTTGTTTGTACCCTCAAACTTGAAATAAATTTACTTTTCAAAAAAAAAAATTAAACTTGAAATAAATTAACCTGAGATGAATTTACTTTTCAAAAATAAAAAAATTAAAAAAACAAAAATTAATGAATGTATAAATTCATTTATACATGTATAAAATATGTATAAATGAACCATTTATACATATAACAATATTGATGAGTATTTAAAATAGTATGTTGACAAAAAGAGCCTTGACTGTGCTCTAATAATTCTAAGAAGTCTAAGAACAGTCGAGAAGTATAGGAAGTACTTGAACAGAGAAAGCTAATCCATGGGATAGAAATTGGAATCTGGTTATCTGGAGTTGGATGGCAGGTGGTTTTTTGACTAGCAAGAGGCACAAATAAACTTGGTTTGTCAAAACCCATCAGAATGTTCACTTAATATTTGTACATTTTATTGCATGTAAATTACTTTAAAAAGCTCAAAAAGGTTAAAGAGAACTGGAAGTCATATTCCAAGACTGACACACTATTTTTTACCAGTTTCCTGGTGAAATAGTCCTAAAATGTACGTGACTGTCTTTCCCACTGCAGCAAGACTTCTTCGACCGCCTCTCTGTAATGTACACTGTTGGCTACTCCGTCTCCTTTGCTTCCTTGGCGGTGGCTATTCTCATCATTGGTTACTTCAGGTGAGCGACCCTCAGTCCCTTCTCTGGAAAGGGACAAGTCCTGTTTCCTATTCATATAAGATGTAGAGGTCTCCCAATCTGTGTCTCCAAATATTTTTCCCAAATGCAAGTTTTTGAATTCAACCTAATATGATTATATTGTTTGACCGTTCATTTTTCATAACAAATTCAGGGATTTTTTTAATTAAAAAATGTAAGGCATCTTTTCATTATTTTAAAATATACCCTACCTCATAGGTGATTATAATCACTTTGTTGTGCTATCAAACATTGTTTATTCTAATTAACTATATTTTTGTACCCATTAATCACATAGTAATTTTTTAAAACAGCATCAAAGCAGTATGAAACCTTTGAGCCAATAGGCATGCATTGTAAGATAGAGTTGAGTGAGCTACAGACATTTTCCTTCAGTATGTAATGACTTATTTCACTTTTCTCAGAGGATTTGCCTTCATTGAACAAAAATTCATCTTAATAATCTTCAAAATGATCTGATGTCAGCAATAAAGAAATAGTATTTATTGCTTTTGTTGTGGTTTATTTTTTACTCACTTAAACCATGTCTAATTCCATTCAGTTTAATCTGAATTAACACGAAACTTTGGGCAACCAATATAGTCGGCCCTTTGTATCTCAAGGTTCAGCGTCTCCAGATTCAACCAACTGCAGATCAAAAATATTTGGGAAAAGAATAGTGTTTGTATCTTGTACTGAACATGTACAGACTTTATTTTCTTGTCATCATTCCCTAAATGATATAGTATAACGACTATTTACATAGTATCCACATTGTATTGGGTATTCTGAGTAACCTAGTGATGATTTAAAGTATATGAGAGGATGGCAGATGTTCTATGCAAATACTATACTATGTTATAAAGGGGCCTTGGGTCTCTGCAGATTTTGGTATCCACGTGAGGTCCTGGAGCCAATCCCTGGGGAGAGGGTAGGCTGGCCAGTGGTGGCCGTGGTGGATACTGGGTGTCTGTCTCCATTTCTAATTTTATGCAGATCTAAATACTGAATGTTTCTCTCCATAGACGATTGCATTGCACTAGGAACTATATCCACATGCACTTATTTGTATCTTTCATGCTGAGAGCTACAAGCATCTTTGTCAAAGACAGAGTGGTCCATGCTCACATAGGGGTAAAGGAGCTGCAGTCCCTGATGATGCAGGGTGATCTACAAAGCTCCATTGAGGCACCTACTGTAGACAAATCGCAATATGTAAGTGTTTTCACCTTTTTCTCTGATTACAGATTTGTACAATGTTATTAATAAATAAAAATGTATAGTCCACTAAATACGTGTTAACTTGTTTTGCTTACTAATCTCTCAACTAACCAAAATAGACTACTAATTTGAATAGTGATGATTGTTCCCTCAATCCTGTCCCCTCATGACTAATCACAAGTCAGTTTAGATGATTAAAAGGGCTTGGGTTCTCTTCTTAAGAACATTCTGGAATGGAAACTGCAGAAAGGACATGATCTGAATGGCATTTGATGTATGTACCATAGCCACTGTCAGGCTTACCACTTTGGAAAGTAAAAATTTCATTAATAAAACCAGAAACTTGGTATTTAAAAGTCCATGATACTTAGTTCCTTTATTGGAGACTGAAAACCTTGTTCTAATATAAAATTTGGTGGTATTTTATTCTGCTCTTAAATGTCTTGGTGTTAGTTGGTATAGAGCCACTCAGTAATGCAGTTAATCAGATCCCTGGAGCAATATATCTGGAAATTAGACAAAGCAGATTCATTGTCTGGAGGGTATCAATTAATCTGTCTGTATCTGTGCCTTTGCCCTGTAACTTTGTAGTCCCTGCTAATTCTGATTCTGGGCTGACTTTGTGACTTGCTTTACCCAACAGAAGGAAGAGGGAGGGACAGTGAGCTAGTTGAGAGTGAACCTCTCTGAGGGAACCTGGCCAAGGTGTGCTGAGCCCAGATCAGCAGAACCATCTAGTTAATCCATGGATTTATGACATGTTCAATGTTGATTAAGTCATTAACATTTGGGGCAGTTAATATGCAGCAATAGTTGCATAAAAAGGCCACAATAAAATAAATTCATGGTGGAAATACAGATAATCTTTGCTTCTTTATGCTTTTCTATACTTTCCTGTTTTTCTCTGATGATCATATATTACATAAAGGGAAAAACTAAGAAAGTAATTTTTTGTAACTTCTAAAAGAATAAAAACTTATTTAAAAAAATAGAATCAAATAAAAGTCTTAAAAAATGCTGTGCTAAATAACTTTGTCCTGGTCTCTCAAAAGTCTTGGCCTTTCTAGGTACAGGATACATTTCAGACTTTAAAAAAAGAACTTGAACTGTATTTAGTGGTGCAATGTTGGCATCCAGTACAATGAAGAGTTCTAATGTGATGCAATTCTGGTTTATTTGTAACAGATCGGATGCAAGATTGCTGTTGTGATGTTTATTTACTTCTTGGCTACAAACTACTATTGGATCCTGGTGGAAGGTCTCTACCTACATAGTCTAATCTTTGTGGCTTTTTTTTCGGACTCCAGATACCTGTGGGGCTTCATCTTGATAGGCTGGGGTAAAGCGTTACTTTTCCTTTTAAACTGGATTATGGATTTGAGGACTTTCTGTCACTGCCCATCATTAGCATTCCTGCAGCCATTTCCCCCAAATAATCCTTCTCCCTATCATTCATGATTCCCCCCTCTTTCTCTTTCATTGTTCTGTTTTTAGATGAAAATTATGAAGATCAAGCCTATAGTCCTCCCAGCGGTAACAAACTTTTCATGTTTAATTTATGGTGAATGTTCTTCAGCCAGACTCTTGATAGGATTCTTCGGAGGCAACCTAAGAACACGTGGTTAGCCAGACACATTTAGAACTGCTTCGTTCATGTCCTGTCAGTGCTCTGCTTTATGAATAATTTCATCTTAAAATTTTTTGTTTCTGAATTTCTAAGCGATAATGCCATATCTTTGATTTGTATTTCTGGATCATATAAAGGAATTTATAGCAATAGAACTGTCTTGACGACATTTAACAAATACAAATTGCAAACTAATTATGTGTGCTTACCACGTCTTTTAGAAGAAAGGAATTTAGATTAACGTTGGCATAAATAGTTCAAAAGAAAAGAATATTCACCTCCCATCCCAGAAATGACTTATCAGTACCGGAAGGAGTACTGGATTAGGCAGTAACTCTACATGACACAGAGAATAAATTGTTTGCTTATTAAAATTCAAAGGGAATTAAAACTTGTATGTAGTTAAAATTGAACAGAGTCAAAAGATTAACAATTGCAGACCTCAATTTATGTTTTAATATTTAAATTATGAGATGCCCAGCACAGGAAAAAAATTCACTAAATAGCTTAAGATGAAATTTATAAAAAATTTATAAATTTTTTTCTCCTCCCAAACAAGAATATTCCTGTGCCTGTTTGCCCTTAAAATTTTTTCAAAATTTGAAATGTTAAGTAAGGAATATTGAATTTCCTGCTAGCTTTAAGAAGATTAATAAACTTTAAGAAGACAAAGGATCAATTTACCATTACATTTCATTTATTATGAAATAATCATCGCAAATAAAATTTTATTTCTGAAGGCAGCTCATCCGTTTTAAAGGTTTCTCTTCTCTTCGACCAGCAATTACTAACATAAAAAAGATAGATTTTATTTTTTTAGAGCACTTTGGAAATTTCCTTGACTGTTTCTTTCAAATCAAAATTTTATCCATGTGCCCACGTAGTTACTAGAAGTTGGTAAAGGTGTTGATAGAGAATTCAGTGATGAATGTAGATGTTTGTTTGTATTATATTTTATTTTTTCAAATTTCTCCATCATTGCAATCATCACGGTCACACTCATTATAAATTCTCTTTTCTCGGTTTTCTTTTTGGTTTGCTGACTAACTGGTGCAGGCCTCCTCATCAACTCTGTTTGGCTGCATCACTGTTTGTCCTTCCTTAGAATCAGGAGTTTGTCCTCCTGAAACCCAGGAAACTGGCTTTCACAGTTTTCTATGAAAATGAAAAGAAAAATTACTAAATAATGACCTAATATGCAAGTATGGATTTCTTATCTTCCTTTACAACTTTTTGGGCATAAAAGTTTTGGCATTGGAACAACTAAATAGATAAGCATCACCACTTGAAATCTTCATTTTACGGATCAACCATTTAGCAGGGAATATTGTTTAAATACAGAGATACGTGTTAAAGCTCCCCATCTGAGAAGCATGCCTTCTGACCCTTTATTTTGTTTGTCTGTCTGCCTGTTCTGATCATTAGTATCATATTCAACATTTTTAATTTATAAAACCTGTTTTTCATAAAATTTATTTATAATGGCATGTTTTATGGAAATCACTCAACTTTTAGTAAATGCATATATTGAGTGCTATTTAAATCCATTTACAAATTTACTTAAATTAACATTTAAATTTGAAATAACATTTAAATTGCAAATGTTTGGGAGTATTTATTTGTTCTAAATTGTGTAATAATGTTATGCTAAGATTGGTGATCAAAAATTCTTAAAGAATCCCAAAGTGGTTTTCCATTTTTTTTTCCTGTAATCCTTTTTTGTTGTTGAGACAGAGTCTCTCTTTATTGCCCTTAGTAGAGTGCCATGGCATCACACAGCTCACAGCAACCTCCAACTCCTGGGCTTAAGTGATTTTCTTACCTCAGCCTCCCAAGTAGCTGGGACTACAGACGCCCACCACAATGCCTGGATATTTTTTGGTTGCAGTTCGGCCGGGGCTGGGTTTAGAACCCGCCACCCTTGGTATATGGGGCCAGCGCCCTACTCACTGAACCACAGGCCCTGCCTGGTTTTCCATTTTTCATTCCTCCATGATTGTCTCCATGCTAGTCTTATGCACAAGAATCTTATAAGACAGTGAGAAAAGCCAGTGATGCCTAGAGGAGAGATTTGATATAATTATCACCTATAACATGATGCCAACTCAAGTGCCATTAATCAAGATTACATAGAGCATCATTCAGTGAATTGCCAGATCAGGAGATTGCAAAGGAAGCAGGAGATACATAGTGTGATCTAAAAAGGATAAAATGTGAAGACTTTGATCAAGGACAGAAGCTTGTGAAGGTAGCCAGCTAAGGAAGCTGTTCTAACCATCCTCTCAGAAGCAGCTATGCCCTCCCCTTACATTTTGTCATTCTTTTTTCTTCATAGCTCTAATTGATAATTTAAGTTGTTTTTATTAACTTTCCCTCCTTCATCACACTGTAAGTTGCAGGAAAATAGGGATATTATCTATTTAATTTGGTCATTGTTTTTATCTTCTAGAACAATCCTTGATATATATATAGGCACTTAATAAATGATTAACTCATGGATGGATGGATAGATAGATAAAATATGCAAGCTGCACTAGGAAATAACTAGAATTAGGTTGATCATTTTGATAAAAATTTCCTAGAAGAAAGAATTTCAGCAAATTTAAAAAAGAATTATATAGAAATAACAAAGGAATTCTTTATTGTGAATTTAAACTTATTTTTGAAATTTCTGTTCATCTGAACCTATTTTTTGTTCAATTTGTTGCTAAGAAAGGATATCTAAACAATTACAAATGTGTGTTTTTAAAGGGTAAGTAATTTAATATCATGCTTGATAAAAAATGCTCTAAGCTAGATTAAAGTGTTGATAAATGGATTAATAATCTGTGACATACGTATACAATGGAATACTATTCAGCCATAAAAAGATGGATACTTTACATCTTTTGTATTTAACTGGATGGAGTTGAAGCATATTCTTTTCTTCTCTTTTCTTTTCTTTTCTTTTCTTTTCTTTTCTTTTCTTTTCTTTTCTTTTCTTTTCTTTTCTTTTCTTTTTGAGGCAGAGTCTGACTCTTGTTTCCCTGGGTAGAGTGCCCTGGCATCATCATACGTTACAGCAACCTCAAACTCTTGGGCTCAAGCAATCCTCCTGTCTCAGCCTCCCAAGTAGCTGGGATTACTGGTGCCCACCACAGTGCCTGGCTAGTTTTTCTGTTTTTGTTAGTAGAGATGGGGTCTTGCTCATGCTCATGCTGGTCTTGACTTCCTGAGCTCAAGTAAGTCACCTACCTTAGCCTCCCAGAGCGCTAGGATTATAGGCCTGAGCTACCACATCTGACAAAGCACATTCTTCTTAGTAAACTATCACAAGAACCAAAAAGCAAGTATCCAATGTACTCAATACTAGCATGCAACTAGTAAATAAACAGTTACCACACACGTGAGAGAAAAACGCAATTGAATTTGAATGGATGGAAGATGGAAGGATGGAGGTTGATTGGTAAGCTCTACCTGAGGTGCACAATGTCAGGACACACCTTCTGGGTAAAGGGCTCGACTGCTACTAGAACTTTTCCTTACAAGCACAAACAATGAGCCTAATCATTTGTACCTTCATTTTATTTTATTTTTTATTGTTTGGGATCCAGTGAGGGTACAAAGAATTAAGTTAAACTAATTGCTTTTGTTAGGTAAAGTCCGTCTTATAATTGTATCCCACCTCCAAAAGGTGTGACATACAACATGATCCCCCATCTCCCTCCCTCCTCCCCATCCCTTCTCATTCCTCTACCCCTCACCTTGTACCTTCATTTTAATCTGAAATAACAAAATAAATAAATAAATACATTTACCGACCCTACTCATGCAAGATAATGTTAAACAAAAGAATAGTTGTTATAATTGGTGTATCTCCCTGTATATCCTAAAAAAATTTTTCTTCTCCCTTTGTAAGGTGCTTCCTAGCTTTTGAAGTGTTTTCATTATGGTCTCCATGTAGTCTTCATTTTAACATTTTGTAAAGGCCTCATCATGACAAGTCACCTGTTAAGTGTTTCAGTCCGCCATTGCAGTGTTCCATGAAAAGTATGGCTTATCATGATTTTTGTGGTATCATGGTCGAATCAAGCATAACATGAACGAACAGTCAACTTTTATGAGGGGGGAAAAGAATCACGGTCAGTATAATGGACTTGATGTTTGCAAGCACTGCAGGTGTTTATCATTTATGAAGGAAAAGTATCTCATGCTCAGATCATCAAAAGAACATATTGATCACCCTTTGCTAAGTTATTAATGCATGCAAATGCTTCTGTCTGGGACCATTGTAAGCCCAAAAAGGAAGAGGTCAAAATTTCCTAATTTTATAGCTTTATGTGTAGCCTCTCTATGCCTTCTACTTTTAAAATGGAAAAGTTCTAAGTTTTTAAAAATATCAGCATCCCTTGGATTTTCACAAGTTCTTCTCATTGTTCCACTCTTTAAAAGCATGTGGCTGTCAGTGTGGCAGGCATCCAAGTCAAATGCAGCAACCACCACCTGCTTCTGGCCCCAGGAACGTCAGTCTCCTCCAAACGGGGCTTTACCCTACATTGCTCACTTGACCAGCCTTCATCTTCAGACTTTCAAGAACAAACAGCCATGTTCTCGCTCATTTCTCAAACTGACAAGATGACATTTTGGGGACTTTTCTTGTTCCATATCAACATTTTTCACGTCTGTTTTTCTCTCTCAACTGCTAATCGTATTTTCTTATGTGTGGTGAATATGAGAAAAGAAAAACTGTTAGTCTTAAAAGAAATACAGTGTCTGAATCCTTTTCTGATTGCAGGGTTTCCAGCAGCGTTTGCCGCTGCCTGGGCTGTGGCGCGAGCAACCCTGGCTGATGGAAGGTGAGTGGAAAAGAAGTAAAGAGAGAGCCTGGGTCTCCAGCCTTCCTTCTCTGATTTCAACTTCTTGCTGTTCTTGATGCCGACACCCTTTAGAGATGTCACGTGGGAAATTACCTTGCTCCAATGGTATCCTCTGATAGATTATTAAATACCAGCAAGCCTTCTGTCCCAGGGGTCACACAACAGGAAGGTTCACAGACCGGAGTAAGATGTCTGAACTCTATGGTTAATGGAAATCAATTCAAAACATAGTGCATGAAGCAAGGAGAAAGAGAAGGGTAAGGGAACCCACGCAGGGCATAGTGTGAGCAGGTGGAAGGACCGTACTGCCTGATTCTGGAGTTGGGGAGGTTCCTGTCTCTCTCCCCGTTACTTCAGCTTCCTCCCTGGTTATGACGACTGGAGATGAGGTTGTAGAAAGGGAACTTACAGACTGGGGGTCCCTGGGCTAATGGGCACACGCTTGCTGTCTCAGAGAGGTGAAGAGGAGAGCACGCTGGCCGCTGCAGGAGATTCCCATTAGCCTGCTGAGCATTCCGTGGGCAAAGGGCATATGGGAATGGGTTTCACCACCCAGTGGCTGAATAGTGAGCCTCTCCTGTGTCAGGGCTATTTGTGGCTCTTGTGTATTTAGCATATCAGGAACACTGCCCATTTCCCTCATGTATTTTTAGTACCTGTGTTTAATATGCATGTACTACTTGCTAATTACTTATTTATATTCAATGAAAACTAGGGGTTTCATCTATCACATTTTTTTTATCTTCCATAGAACTGAATATTTTAAAATAATAAAACAAATGCACATCGGAAGTGGAATCCATCCTTATCTGTGAATCATTAGATCTTCCAGGTAGCATGGGCTTAATTTAAAGTTGCATTTGAAAGTGCAAGTATAATGTGTCAATTAACAAAAAACAAACTGGTTTCTTTGTGGAAAGAGATGTACAGGGTTATGGAGCTGAGTGATGGTAAAGAACTCTTTCTTTAGATTTGGACAGACTGGAGTTCAAATCTTGTTTTTTCTGCTGCTAGTTTTGGGATGATGGGGAGGATCCATGACTTCTGTATCTCAGCTCCTCATTTATAAAACAGACATAATTACGTATAAATGCAGAGACACTCAGCCCAGTGCTGGCAGATTAAATGGGAGTGTGCTTGGGGGTGGGGGGTGTGACAGGGCTGTTCTGCCACTTCTTGGTTCTGTGACAGCAGACATGCAACCTAACCTCTCTGAGCTTCAGTTTTCTCTTCCAGCAAGTGATGATAAAATGACTACTATTCTTCACAGGGTTGTGGGTGTAAGATTAAATGTGCTAATGAACGTGAATGTGTGTAATATACTGGTAGTAAGTGCCGAGTACTCATTAGCGAATGTTATTCCTTTAATTCTAATTCTTTCATTAGTTTGTACTTACAGGTAATATCTGATGAGACAATTAAAAAATAACATTTCTGTTTATTGTTATTCCATTAGAAAGCAGGACTCATCCTTACGTTAATTTAGCTTATGACATTTTGATTTTTATCCTGTCAAGTTGATGGGACCCACGATTTACAAATACTCTACCTTCTTAGGATGCTTGAAATCTACTGTTCCATCAGATAAAATCTTCCTTATCAAATTCCTGTAGCATATGATATGCATATTATATAATTATCCCTTTGTTATCTATCATCTTATTTCTCTTGATGTGCAGGTGTAACAGTCTTATTTTTTACAACTAACTGAATTTTAGATGTCTGTGAGTGACATTCTCTGTTTTACAATAGAGAACTCTCCACTGCCTATCCATCCATTCTCACGGATGCATTTGGCCATTTTTCTCCATTTGCTAAGTAGCTACTGAACAATGGTAGAGTTTGAGCCCATATAATTATGAGTTATTAAGAGATGTGATTTTTCTTTTGTTCACTAGTGGTGATGGTGTCTCTCAGCCTCAGT